ACAAAAAAAAAAAAATTAAAAAAAAAAAAAAAAAAAAAAAAAAAAAAAAAAAAAAATCCTTCCAAGGCTAGGTTGAGTAAATGAACATACAGAGATGGCTGGCTTTGGTCCCTAGGCTGAAGCAGAGATGCCAGTATTTTTTAAAAGGTCACAACAATGCTGTTTCCCTGCTTTTTGATTCCCTTTGAATCCCAGTAAGAATGTTCTATATGACTGCACATCAGTCATTTTGTACACAAGAAAATGTGTGTTAGAACTACTTCACACCATGGAATGCAGAAAAAAAGAGAATAGCAGGCATTCCACATGAGCTCAATCTTGCTAACAAGGAATATAAAAATATAACTGGGGACAGAAATTTTAGGAGACATAAGGTGACTGTTAGACAATGTACATCACAAGTATCATCTAAAGTAATAACTTAATATTCATTCCCAGAGTTAGTCTAAAAGAAAAACAAATGTAAGTTATTACAGATTCTGCCAAGTAATTTTGGGTGAAGAGGGTGAGTGTAAGAGGGCAGTTCATTTGCAAGAAAATTTGACTTCTACAGGTGAAAGACATCCTTAATGTATAAAGAAGTATTATCTAAAAAGAACTCCAATATATAACATTTTCCCACTAAAAACTCAAAGTTAAAAAATCATTTTGCTCATGTCAAACATTCCACTCCTTCAGGTGTATTTCTGGTTGTTCGCACCCACAATTTACTAAAAGCAATTTAGTCTACTGCTTCCAGGAAATAAAGGACATCCACATTTTCTAAACTGTGGTAAAATAAAACACCTATCAAATCAAATAGGATTTCTCAATTCTAGGGACTTCCTATACTGGATCTGCTTAATCTGCTGTACTGACGTAGGCCAACTACTGCCAGGTTCCCACCTGTGCACATGCTCAAGAGTGGTCTTTGTTGGGAGTCCCTAGTTCTGAGTGATAGTTAGTGAAAAAAGCTTTATGAGCAAATTGAAAGAAAAAAACTGAAGTTTAATAATCAGAATGACCAAGTGAATGGAATAAAGTTGGAACAGGAAGTAGAACTTCTGGAAGAGGCACTGTCAATTTTTAGTAATGTTTGTGTTTTAACCCATAGGTACTGAAAATCCAACGTTAGCTATCAATTTTAGGTTGAGAAAAATATCTTATCTGGTCTTTAAACACACAAGTGTTTTTTTGGTTCACTTTTTAAAAATATTCTATTTGATTTAACATATAAGCAAACACGTTCATTTATTTTCCTTTTGTTGCTACCCTCCTTTATTTCTCACTCATTTAATCTGCATCAGTGGACAGGAAACGCACCATATCCCCCTGCCTGGATGGGTGTTTTTGGAGAAGCACAAGCATAGAGACTAAAATCCTCTGTTTGGAAACCAGCCCGATTCAAGGAGGGTTCTGATGCACTGCGGTGAATTTTTGGCAATGAGCGGGCCAGCAGCTCAATAGAGGCGAGAATCTACGAAAAAAAAGAAAAGAAAACAAAACAAAACACACACACACACACACACACACACACACACATACACACACACCAAAAAAAAAAAAAAAAAAAAAAAAGAAAGAAAAAACAGAAAGCAGAATGAAAATCTGGGTGGTGTAAATCTTTAAGAGCCCATTATACTTTACAAGAAAGCACCTGATATCTTACATTGTTTTCAGTATTACAAATGCCCGGAAAAACAGAAACTGGTATTCTTCCACAAAAAAATAAAGAAAAAAACAAAGAAAGAAACAACCATAATACTACATTTTTATTTCTGCAAACTAAATGGGCAAAGTAACTCATAGTTAGCTTTTGTTTATCTTATACATCACTTGCCAACTTTGGAACAAAAAAATAATACCAATTTAAGACTGATGATATACCTATTTGGTACAGACTGCAAGTCCTCTTGGAAGAAAGATGGAGTATAAGTAAGTAAAGCACCACATGACTGTAAAAGCCTAACCGGTCGAGGAACTCAGCCTTCAGAGGACCTCACTCAGGAATGGACAAGTCTTACATACAGAGTCAAAAGTAGGACCCACTGACTCAGACTGCTAGGGGCACATAAATGAGAAGGACCAAGCTCAACCCAGGGTGAAGACAGGAAAATTCTACAGAAAGACACCAATCCACAAAAATGTAAAAATTCACATATTTTAAGGAACAAAGAAATGTGTTATGATCCTTGAAGGCATACAGCATGAGAATGTATTTTTCAGCCATGAGACACATGTATAAGGGGTTGGCACATGCCTGGCGCATAGTAAGTACTCAATAAAACTTTCAGGAGCCATCATTATGATGACGATCCTGAACTACCAAAATTATTTTTTAATTTACCTGTAATTTTAGAGATTAATATAAGAAGGCAAAGAAGTAATCAATTTTACAAACATTTTTAAATTCTAAAAGTAACATACAAATAAAAATTTAAGGAATACAGAGAAGGAAAAAGTGTAAGGCTCTTCAATACCCGCTCCAGGGGCAACTCCTGATAAGGTCTACACTTTCTTCTGTATTTTTCCTATATGTAAACATATACATATGAAAACACAGCCCATCCTCACCATCTTTTGCAGTAGCATCATACTACAAAGTTTTCTCATGGTTTTCTTTTTCCCTCATTCATACACATATTATCTACGGTCATCCATACAGAGCTACCTTAACCTTTGTTTTTAATTTTTCCTCTGATAGTAAACATTCCTGTATATATCTGAATACTTATGAAGGCAGTTTCTGTAGCATAGTTTTTAGGAGTATTTTATTTTTTTGAGAAAGGGTCTCAATACAGTTCAGGCTGGCCTTGAACTCGCTATAAGTCTAGACTGGCCTTGAACTTGTGACAATCCTCCTGCCTCAGCCTCCAGAGTGTTGGGATTACAGGTGTATACCACCATACCTGAAAATTTAATGAGAGGCAGAGGGTCTTTTAAAGCCAGGGATTTATAGGAGGGGACCCAATAATCAACCTCAATAATAATCCATTTTGCTCCTCTGGCCTGTTCTTTCTGAGTCACTTCTCTGTTTATCTTGGGCTCCAGAAGGGCAAACCTTGCTGATAAATCATCTCATGACAGTGGTTTCCTGGGTGCTAGAACCCTACAGCACTAGACCTGAGATAATGATCACCCAGACTACAGTATGACCAATTCTGCTTGCCCGCATACTTCTTGACCTCCACTTCTGTTGTTATCTATATAATTCTTGAAGATCCTGTCAGTACCCTGAAGATGGGGCTTAGGACAGTGGTCCCTTGTACCTTCCCAGCACGGCCATCCTGGATCAACTCCTTTCTGGCCTCACCACCACTCATCTCTTTGATTGGAACTGGGCAGCCAGTGGCCAAATCTGGTCTGCTGGGAACCCCATTCACCCACCCAGTCAGGCCTCTGGCCTAGGACTCTGGTAACACTGCTACTGAAATCTTGGTCTTTTCCTAAGTTCATTTGCCATTTGCATTTCTTCTGTGCATGACCTGTGCATATCCTTTGCTCACTTTCTTCTTTTTTTTAGCATTTTTGAGAAAGGTCTTGCTATGTAGGTCAGGTTGGCCTCAAACTCACTGTGATCCATCTGCCTCAGCCTCTGAGTGCTGAGATCACAGGTGTGTGCCACCACGCCCAGTTCTCACTTTCCATGGAATGTCATATTCATTTGTAGGAGCCCCCTGAAGATTCTAAATATTTATCTTTGTAATACATGCTGCAATTATTTTTCTATTTAACTTTCATTATTTTTTACTATGTAGAAGTTTAAGCAATTTAATGTAGTCAGATATACCACATTAAACTCTGTAACTTCTGGATTTTGTCTCTTGCTTAGGAAAGTCTTTCCTACCTCAACACTATATAAAAATGATTTCATATTTTATAGTTATCTAACATAGATCTTTAGCCATTTAAGATTTATGTGGCATATATGATAGGAAAAGATAACCTATAATGAAAATGTATAGTACCTTAAAAGGGGTAGTTTCCACTAATCTGGGAAACTCATAAAGGCATTTCACTCTTTGATCAAATGGTGTGAATAAAATATTATGTTTAAACAGGTAAGGATTTTGCCCCTTAAAAAAAGAAGTACTAGGACCTGGGATGTGCAAAGAGAACACATACTGGGGCTTGCTGACACTGTTCAACAGTATTAGTTTTTCACTTTGATAATTTCAAGCCCAGTGTGTTTTCTGTTAAAAAAATTAAAAAAATAAAAGTAAATACCCCAAAACTCTTCCTCAGAGCAGTGGTAACAGAATCCCTGTATGTAAAACATACCCACTCATTTAGCCGTCCCTTTCTTCTAGGCAGCCTCTGACACTTGTTAAAGACATCAATTCTAACTTTTTTAGACTTTTTTTTTTGCGGAACCAGGGATTGAACTCAGGACCTTGCACTTGCCAGACAGTTGTGGTGCCACTGAGTTACATTTCCAGCGCCAACTTTTTAGATTTTTTTTAAAGATGACAAATTTTCAGATAAAAATAAATGATGAACAAATCTCATTTCTCTAACAGTGCTTTGTTTGAATAACTAGTGTGGACTGGGTATTCAAAAGCATAAGGTGGGCCAGGGATTTAGCTCAGTGGTGCCGCGCCTGCCTCTCACATGCAAGGGCTTGAGTTTGAGTCCCCATACCAAGAAAAAGAAAGCAAGGAAAAAAAAAAAAACACAAGGTTCACAAAGGAAACATCTCAATAATTAAAGCAGCATGCTATGGGAGCCAGAATTTTCCACATGAAACTGTTGATTTACCAAGGTATATCAGGAAATTCAGAAGGATCAGGAAACCTGCACTTATGTATTACAGCTAAGCTCTCTAAGCTTGTTCAGATACTTATTGTCAGTCCTCTGTAAGGCTTCTTTCTTTTTCTTTTCTTTTTCTGTGCTTCACTTTTTGGCCCCCCCACACCATATTTTAAGTCATTCTGGGAAATGCTAATGGGGCATTTGGTCATACAACATGGGGACTCATAGTATAGGATATGGGAACCACAATCTCTCTTCTACAGAGAAAGTGAAGTTGTTGAGCTAAATTCTCCTGCTTAAGAAAGTAAAAGGGCTTATCCTCCTTAGAGTTATGTCTTCTAATTTCTGTTTATCTTCTGTGTGGAACTGGGGATTTGTTAGCCATATACAAATACTGGATTTGCAAAAAAAAAAAAAAAATTTTTTTTTTCTTTGGCGGTACCTGGGATTGAACTCAGGACCTTGCACTTGCGAAACAGGCACAGAGTCACTGAGCTAAATCCCCAGCCCTGCACTTCACTTTTGAGAGGGGATGGGGAAGGTCTTGCTATGTTGCCTAGGCTGGCCTTGAACTCTTGGGCTCAGGTAATCCTCCTGGCTGGCTGTTTCCTTAGTTGCTGGGACTACAGGTAAGTGCCCCAAGCCAGCTCTTTGTAAGGCTTATTAAAGATTATTAATGGAAATGACAATATGAAAAGCAATGGGAAGTTAAAGGAATTGGAGGCAAACTGCACCAAGAAGTGATTTTTTTCCTGCCTCTGGTAGAACTGTCCTCAAAGTGATACAGCATGGTCAGGCATGGTGGTGTACATCTGCAATCCCAGTACTTGGGAGGCTGAGGCAGGAGGAGTGCAAGGCCAGCCTGGGCTACATAGTGAGTTCAAGGCCAGTCTGAACTATATAGTGAAACTGTCTCAAAAAGTAAAAAACAGAACAAAACAACAATGAAAAAAAGATCTTGTATGAAAGGGAAGCTTAAATTCTGTTTAATTTTACCATCAAGAAGCATTAAAGCAGCAGTTTGCAAAATATGGTTTGTGGACTTCTAGATGGCATGCAGATTAAAACTACTTTCCTAACAGAAAGATATGATTTGCTATCATTATTTTATAAGTGTAAATGGAGTTTTCAGGGGCAACATGTGAGAAGTTTATGAATATATACATATACATATATATATTTTTTGGTGCCGGAGATAGAACTCTGGTTCTTGTGCTTGCAAGTCAGGCGGCGGAACCACTGAGCTAAATCCCCAGCCCAAGTTTATGAATATAAAAGCGGAGAATTTGTATATATGCTGCTGAAGTGACCATAAAAAAGCCATCTTATTTACAAATAATTTGAAAAATGTAAAACAATAATCACTTCTAATTTTTTTGGTTTGGAAAAAGAGTAATTAGTTACATAAACAAAAGCTCTTGGGGGGAGGGTCTTTAATAATTTTTAAATGTGTAAAGAAAAGGACTCCAAGACCAAAAAGTTTGAAAACTGCTGGACAAACGCAAAGTCCTTTGTGCATATTCTGTACTGGGATCCCAATTTTCTGCTCAACCTTTATAAATTCATCACCCTATGCTTACTTATCTGAGTCTGTACATAATCACATGAATTCAACCTGTGAGATACAGATTACGTACCCCTAAAAGTGCTCACAAATTTGCCTCTGAATGTTAGTCTGTTTTTTAGTTAGCATGGAGTTTTTCTTACTTGGGGAAAGAGTGGTCTTTCCTCTCTTTTCTTCTTGAGGCACTCTGCCATTAATCGCTTCATGGCTTTTGGACAGTTACTCCGTACCTTGCTGAGATCTGGAGATAGGTATCCTCGTCCCACCATAAAAATTATCTGGAGGGAAAAATAAAGCCAAATCATGCAACTTCATATATAAGTTAAAATACATTAACAATAAAAATTCAGCAAGCTGTATGTTTATGATATTTCTGCTTATATGCATACATATTATACTTTGATTAAAAGTTAAAATTAAAGCCAACAACATAAGTACTTCGATTCATATACATCACAGACTGTGGAAACCTATACCTAATGGTCTACAAATTCAAACCTTTATGATCTCATGACTGCATCACAGCCTTGCTAACTGTCCCTTATGCCCCCAGTCTCTCCTTGCCCAGGCAATGTCCCCATTAAGTGGGTAATTGTTCTTTTTTTTTTTTTCAGCTTTAATTGAGTTTATTGGTACATTTTAGGGATACAGTACAGTTACATTCATTGTTGGGATCTTGTACCTCTACATTACAAGTCTTGATTCTCATTTTTTCCCCTTACCTCTGCCCTCCCTTCACTCCCTCCCCTCCCCATCTACAAACACTTTATTTTCATCTTTTCATTCTCACATTTTTTTCTTTTCCCTTTTTACTCTTCCCCTACCCATCCCACCTTCCCTACACCTTTAGCTCCTTTCTTCCCATTTCAAATGTCAGTAATCTTATTAGGATCTTATGCATTGTTGCAGATTATTCACACCAGGGAAACTATTTGGTATTTGCACATGTGTGACTTATTTATTTCACTTAGGAGTATATCTTCAATATGTATCCATTTTCCTATGAATGAATCTATTTTCTCGTTCTTTATGGCTGAGTGATATTCCATTTTATAGAAAACCACATCTTCTTTATCCCGTTTCCAACGGATGGGCAAATGGGCTGTTTCCAAGATTTAGCTATTACAAACTGTGCTGCTATAAACATGGGTGCACATACTTCTCGGTGATATGATTCTTTTAGTTCTCTTGGAAAGATAGAGTGGGTAATTGTTCTAAAACACACAGATCTGACAGTGCGGCTTCTTTCCTTCAAAATAAGTTTATTGAACATATTTTTCTCTTGTGGGGTCTAGGCATTGTGCTAAGTCTTTTAAATATGTGCAGCAGCAACCAGAAAAGTTAAGCTTTTCAGCAGTCATCCATATTTTAAGTCATTCTGGGAAACACTAATGGGGAATTTGGTCATACAACATGGGAACCCATAGAATATGATGTGGGAACCACAATCTCTCTTCTACAGAGAAAGTGAAGTTGTTGAGCTAAATTCTCCTGCTTAAGAATGTAAAAGGGCTTATCTTCCCTAGAGAGTTATGTTTTCTAATTTCCTTTTATCTTCATTGTGGTACTAGGGATTGAACCAGGGGCCTCTGTACTGAGTTATATCACCAGCCTTTATTTTTATTTTGAGACGGGGCCTTGCTAAGTCACTAAGTTGCCAGGCTGCGCTTGAACCTGTGATCCTTCTGCCTCAGACTCTAATACTGCTCGGACTACAGGTATGTGTAACCATGCTCAGCTGAGTCTTCAAATTTCTTAACTTCTAGTTTTTGGCTCTTTTTTTTTGAGACAGGGTCTCACTATGTAGTGAGACTGACCTGGAACTCACTGTGTAGTCCAGGCTGGCCTCGAACTCACAGTGATCCTCCTGCCCCAGCCTCCTCAGTGCTGGGATTACAGGCATGTGCCACCACGCCCAGCAGTTTTTGGCTCTTTTGAGGGTAGGGAGAGACTGATGATAGGAATCTTGGGCCTAAGAGAGGGAGTTTGATCTTAGAGGGAACAGGTTCAAGAGTGGCAGATCAGGTGGTATGGTGGAAAAAGCCAGTAAAGTATTCATTCTGCACAGTGCTGATGAATTTTAGAAATTCACATTTAGCATTTTAAGTTACATCCCGTTCAATGGTCTAATGACTCTTGTTGAACTATGAGTCATACTAAAGCTTTGATTGCAATGTGATCTCTGTGGTACAGGCTAAAAGGATGATGCTTAGAAAGAGATACAAGGAAAGTACTGTTTCTTCCCATACTGCTCCCTTCTGAAGCCAGGCTATCATGATTTTATTGGAGAAAGCAGTCTCAGAATTCTAGAGCAACCTGAATTAATACCTTGGAGTAGTGGATAATAAGCAAAGACCAGGAAAATATAAATCACAGCGGGATCTTCAAAGTTGAGAGGAAGGGTTCAAAGTACCTATTCACAGAGGACAGCACTTCAGATATGCATATGTAGGGCCGGAGATTTAGCTCAGTGGTTCCACTGCCTGCCTCGCAAGTGCAAGGATCCGAGTTTGATCCCCGGTAAAAAAAAAAAAAAAAAAAAGATATACATATGTACCTACCAATGGAAAAGATAGCCCTGGAAGGCTACAAAACTTTGGAATACTCGGGTTATAGATGTAACCTAATTTTCTTTTTCGTACCAGGGATCAAACTCGGGACCTTGTGCTTGCGAGGCAGGCGGCGGCACCAAGAGCTAAATCCCCAGCTGTAATCTAATTTAATACTCAAAATAATTCTACAATGTAGGTATTAATTCCGTTTTATAGACTAGGAATCCAAAGCTTAAGCAAATCAAGGAACTTGCACAAAATAACTTGCCCAGTTAAATAACCAAGAGAAAATTGAAGAACCTAATACAAATCTGCTTTTAACCATATTTATATGGCTGTCACACTGCCTACAGTGTCCCTCCTTATTCTCTTCCCTATCTGAAATGTGGATGCATCAAGAGTTACTGGAAATCTAACTTTGTCATCATCCTCTTCCTCTCACACCCAGAAGTGACCCACTGACAGCTGTAATGATCATTTACTGTTTTATGTGGTTATTATTAATCCTTTTTGTGACTATGTATCTTAGCAAGTTCCCCAATGAGGCTATGGATTCTTGAGGGCAGGGTCTGTCTCATATACAGTATATTTATTTCTTCTGTACCACCTCTGTCTTAGCATTTAACTTTATGTTGGGACACAAGAGGTTTTCTATGTGTAAGTTAACAACTCATCAAGGCCAATGGTAATTTTTTCCTCATTGATAGTGGTGTCAGATAACTGTAGTCTTCAAACTAGGGAAAACTAGGTATCTTATTTATTGTTTGTTTATTTGTTTGTTGGTACCAGGGATTGAACTTGGGCCCTTGTGCTTTCGAGGCAGGCTGCAGGACCAATGAGCCAAATCCCTGGCCCAGGTATCTCTATGTTTACATGAAGACTCTCCCAGAGCCTACAGCCATGGTAGTTTTAAGGGAATTAATTTCTACCATCTCAACTTACTTATATTCTCTTTTCAAAAAAGAGATTTGCCTGAGAACCTCTCAGGCAGAAGTTCAGCTTACTCTCCTTCCCTCTCTCTGTGATAATCATCCTTTTCTTCCTTAAAAAAGGTTTACCTTTTACCCAATGGAATCTACCTGCAGTACATTGTTCCATACTGTAAAAACTACAGGAGCATCAACAGGACTGTAAGGTCTGACCTAAGTGAGTCCTTCACAAATAAAGGGGATGAAGCAAACAGGCTGCTTTTAGTAAAGAAAAGCAGATTCTCAGTAAATAGAGGAAATGGGCTCAAAATGTAGTATATACCCACCCTGGAACCAAAAAGTCCAGTAATTGTGTATACTCCTGAACGGACCATCCTTGGACATCCAAGTCATAAATATCTCCAGATTCCTTTGACCCTTCAATACCTATATAAGCCTAATTCCTTTCCCAGTTAATTGCTAATGTGTCTCTTTGGTGATAACCCATCCACTCATGGATGAAATCTCTCTCACCTAGCTGCTACTATCTCTCTCCCAGTATCAGCCCACCCATACACGGATGTGATAAACTGCTAAAAGCTCCTGATTTCTAATCCCTGTTAACGGGAATAAACTTTCCTTTCAAAAGCGTATTTTTTGACAAGTGGATTCTTTATGACAGGGACCTTTCTAAATATTAGCATCTCATTAGGCTTGAATGAGTAAGTAGCAAATCCCTTTGCAAGTCACTTGACTTCCAATTCTCTACTTTCAACAGAACTGAGTAAATTGTCAGCTTATTACTAAAGTATTTTTTCACAAGTTACTGTATAATTTTTGTGAATGAGTTAAAGTGCATGAATGACATGGCATGTGATGAAGAATTAATCTTGCCCAGAGAGGAAAGGTCTTTGTCCTTGGCTCCTAGAAGATAATCACTAGCTGCTTGGGATGTTCTGCTTGTTTCCAGTTTGTTTATCTGGAGGCTGTAGACCATACCAGATAGATTATGCCAACAATGTAACTTACAGAAGGGGTATGGGGTCATGTATTATCAACTTGACCTCTGGGAGAGCTGGAAACTACAGTCAGCCACATGGGGTGTCAATCATACTTGTAACCCTCTAGACTGGAAGCTTCCTAGGCTGGCCAAACTCCACATTATCTCACATACTGCTGCAGGAGAACTTAGTACTGTGCAGAGCTCCACTAGGAGAGAATAGCCAGAAACTCCACATGGGAAATGTTCTTGGCCTGCACCCCATATTATAGGGAAAGGGTAATGGGAGTTGGCAGAGACCCTTGCAGTGGTCCTGGTCAGTATGATGTCTGTGAGATAGGGAAGTGGGAATTAAAAGAAACAGAGACAGAGACTTGAGAGAAACTGAGTCTTGGGCTGATCTCAGCTGCCCTGGGCAGCAAAGACAGAGGACCCCGAGGACATCCAGTGTTTATTCAAGTGTGGGAAGGGGGAAACTGGGCAGGGCTTGGGACACCTGAAGATATCAAGTATCAAGCAGGCAAGACTGTAGAATGAGGGCACAGCATATCCGTGCTGAAGAGAACAAAGGGTTAATTCAGAGGGAAGAATTTAGTTGGAGTCGGTTGACCTTGGCTGAGACTGAGCTTAGCCAAACTCTGCTACTTTCAATATAACACAGCCAAGTTATGGAGGGAAGAAGCTTGTGCCACTATAGCCTGCTAATACCAGATGACAAAGGTATCTGTTACACCATATATTTCTTCTCTTCGATGATTTTAATCTATATTCTTTCACTGATATAGTGACTGAATTTTTCATAAATGCAGTCAATTCAG